AATCAACACAAGAACTAATGCGACCCACCGACATTAATTGCACGCAGTTTACATCACATCACTCTGCGTGTCACCTCCATACGTAAAACTCTATATTCATCCACAAGTAATATACTGTGTCTAACTTTGCACAGTTTTGTAAGAAGGCAACGGTAGCTTCTTGCATTAATTCATTTGCAATTTCTTGAGTGATTTCTTGAGAAATATACTGTCATCTGGGAGTCTTGTCAAGACTCCTACATTCTGTTTGGAATGAGTCGTAAGATTTTACTGAAGTTTTATTTGCATATGTCGCCATTTCCAACCGACATTTCTTGGTAACTGATGTATACAAAAGTCTTTGTTCTGAAAACGTTGTCTTCATTGGAGTGAAGTCCTAAATATTAACCTATAAGTCTATCGAGAGCAATACGTGACTATCAACTTGCTTCAAACGCTGTCCGGTCATAATTGCACCTGTCTATAAGCCAAAGTTTAAGAAAAAAGTGTTTATTCCTGGTCAAATAGTCATGTTGGAGTTGCAAACTTTGTCGCACTTTAAAATCAATTTTGTTCCAGCCTAACCACAGTGCAAACGTACTGCCGTAACGTACTGCGTAAACATTATTACGACATTAATATGTTTATCATTGCTACTCGAGCAAGGGAGGAGGGATAATGTAAATATAATATTACCTACGGATTATAATATTACGGTTTCGAATCAGAGAATACTGGACTGGAAAATTGGTACTATTCGTACAAGCAACTGAGAATGATATCCCGATTCACATGAAAACGTTTTGAGTTATTGCTACCAGATTATCAAAGATTGGTCCAGTGGACAGACCCATTCCAAACTAAAAACAATCTCCCCCGACTTTTACTTTCACAATGTAGGATGGTGGACTTCCCTCAATGGGTTTCCTAGTGATTCTGCGTAAATATTTTTATAATCGGTTATATTTTGTCGGGTGCTTGAATTTGCAATCTCAACTGCAAGTAAAAAAATTGCAGGAAGAAGCTGTTGAATCAGATGTCACGATTCGCTAGTGAGAGTTCGTGGGGACGCGTGAGGCAATAATGTCGGGGTCTCCAAGTCGTTAGTGTGAGAGGCAGAGGTCAGGCATGGAATGAAGGCGAGTGACCCTCGACAGAGGCGTGTTCCGCCGCGCCTACCCCACCCATCCTCCCCGCCTTGGCCACGCTCCCCCTCTCTCCGCCCTGCCCTCTCCGCCCCGCCAGGCCACCTCCCGCCTCACAAGCCGCCCCGCTTCGCCCGCTCCCGCCGCCAGGCGCCCTCTCTCGCCTCCTTCGCACATCCCGTCCCCGGCCGCCTTTCTCCTCCGCTCCCACCGCCCATTCCGCCTACTCGCTCCCCTCCGCCCTCCGCCACATTGGTTCGATGTTGGTATACATAAGAGCGGTAAATTCCGTATACCCTATCTTCATGAAAGTTGTCACATCTACATGTTTTATCACCCAGGTATATGTGGTGTGAATTTTGTTTGCAAATCCTCTAGATGGCGCTGCAGAACAAAATTGCGCTTCATTATTTTAATTCAGTCTCCATTCAAACTGCACTCCACTTGTCCTTCATTGTTGCTGAGCGTTGGCGTGTGACGCAGGGCGAGGCCGAGAAGATCAGAACAGAAATATGGAGGGACGGAGAAAGGGAGGGACAGGGACAGAGAGACGGAGACAGACAGAGGGAGGCGAAGAGAGAAACGGATAGAGAGAGACGGAGAGAGAAAGGGGGATGGAGGGGCTTTGGTCTGCCACTTTCCACTAGTAGAATATATAAGTAAAATAATGAAATATAAAACTCTCAAGAATCATGTGGAAAATTCCACTGTGTTTCATGGAACCTCACCAGATATTCAGTACCATTTGATTTCAAATGTGAGCATGGTAATGGCCTGTGAAGTAGAAATGAAATTTCTAAACCCTCTTTTGGCTCCTTGACACGGGATGAAACCCCTCATGCAAGCAGCAAAAAAACTTTAAATTGTATTACTTTAGGTGTCTGTAAATTTATTGGTGTTCTCTTCCCTAGTGTTTTTTTTTGTTATAGACCAATACTTTCCATTTTATAAAGTATGCCAATTCTAATGGGTATGTGGTGATACTATGTATTGGACAATTTTGTAAATAAGTGAGTGTAATAGTACTTTAATTATGAAAGTACGAGGGGCACACATTTATATTTTGCAAGGTCATGAACTTCATTTAACTTTTTACAACCTTCAACCAGTACATGAAGTACGTGAACCATTATTATTTTTGCTGGATCTGTTTTTCTTTTAAATATACAAATTATTTTTGTACTGTAATCGACCCAAGTGTCAGATATCAGTCTATCAGCTAAAAATCAGGCAATTGCACTGACTAAAATAGTAGTTCATTGCAAGACTGCAGCCCAGACAACGGTAGTGTCTTCATCTTCACTTGTTGCACGAACAGTCGGCCATTAGTGCGAATAGCGTAAAGCACAGTTTTTTCAAGTGCCTATTCTCAGTTGCCTGATTTCGCTACTTAATCGGTAAGTCTTCTAACTAATACATTATTTTGAAGGAGACTTATCGATGTATAGTAATGTAATTTATTTTACTTGCCCTAGTAAAAATGTTATTAGCATTTGGAATATAAACAAACACGCTGGTACCTAAACCGAGCCCCCAAGATCTCCTAACGTGAGCTTCCAAGTTTTCTTGTAAAATAAAAACAATTAAGATATTTGTCACTCATTATGCCGTAGGAGTCTAATAAAAAGCAAGTGCTTACTCTGAGACCTATCAGTTTGGGATGGCAGGAAGACGAAATAGGTCAAGAGACATTTTTTTTAATTTAATCCCGGAGAAGACAAGAGTGAAATATAAGAAAATTCTGAAATTCAATAAAAATCAAACGGTTGATGCCATCTCTCGCGAGGAATTACACAACATGGCCTCTGGGTCTTCGGAATTGGAAGTTCCACCGGGGATATTTTCCCTCCCAGGGGAAGAAGATGCAGAGTGCATGTTTTGCAGGGTAACATTATCAGACAGCCGTAGAAGAACTGTGGGTGATGTGACTCATGTGTGCACCCATATAGAATGCGCGGGGGCGAAAAAATGTTTTATATGTCACTTTCGTCGCACTTCAATATATAGACATACAAGACATACAAGAAAATTTCTTGTGTATTAGATTGTATACTAATATTTTTATAAAATGACTGAGTTCACTCTATATGAAGATTTTTCATTTATTTTTATCTATTTCTTTAAACGTTTGCGGACCTCACATTTGGAAACATTTATTAGTAATCAACAAATTGTAATGTTTATTTAAAAATTAATTTATTCTTAAACTACTTGGCCAATATAATTAGAATATAACATTTGTATAACTAGAGTACGCATTGCAAATATTGTGATTTATTTGTGAAGAAAATTGGATTTAAAAATATTCGAAAACAAAATATTTGCCCATGTTTGCGTACTTTCCTCTAATAAACTATACAAATAGCCGGTAATGTAAATATTATGGCGTTTATGTCATCTGTTACAGTACATTTGACACTCACCCCACCTAAAGTTTATAGAAAAAATTTGGAACAATTCTGAGAAATTCTAGTTTTTTATATTTTTTAATATTGCACTTATTTCAATTTGCGCAAACTTCTGGTCGAGAAAAAGGGAATCTGCGTAAAGCAGAAATACAATACATATTTATGTAGTATTTATCGTAAAAAAGTGGTGATACAGCATCGCACAATGGCGTAATTTCAGATAAGAGAAATCTCTTACATGTGAAACTCCACTTCCTGCCTTCTGGAGCTGCAACCGAACGCAACATCATACTTTACCATTGTGTTCCTTGTTAAAAACAAAATTAACAGAAATAAAGTCTCAACCTTTCCACGCTTTACCAAAACACGCTCTAATAGACACATTGGAATGCGCTCCAGATCTGCCAACTCACCAGAATCAGGCGTCCCGCACTCGACGCATTTGCAGCATTGAAGTTGTGGATCTAGTTTCTGTCGTTGAGATCACTACGCACACCGCTTTATTTGCTTACCTGACGGGGTGGCTGGCGACAAGCGGCTGACCCGCCCCTCCTCCATGGCTTAGGAAGGGGGAGGGGCGGCGGCGCAGATCAGCTTCACTTGCGCTTTGGCAAGCGAGGGGGGCAATCGGCCGGCGGCTATCTTCAAGCCGGCGGAGCGGCGACAAACTGCCTGGTTTGAAGCAGCCAACGGGAAAATAAATGTATTGTTTTTTATTGCGACGCGCGAAATTCATATGCACGTCCCCATAATAGATTCAAACACCATGGAGCGCTCCAACTGGATGGGGAATTAATAACTCACGCAAGGAGCGCCCAGATGGGCGGGAAATTAATATATTGAATTGAATTCAATTCAATTTATGCCTTATTTTACGTGGCGAGACTCGGGCCATCAGGCCCACTCTTCCGTCTGACCACGCAAATTTCGCTACGCTCCTTTCACCAACTAGCAGAGGAAGGAGGTATTTCTTGGGCGAGAAACAGGCAATTTTGAATTTAGAATTTAGCTCAGAGGCGTCATTTAGGCTTGAGGATCTTTTACATGCAAGTAAATCTACTAACATGGGACAGCCGGCTTCACTTCCCCTCCGAAGGAAGGCGTACGAAGGACTTTTTCGCCCTTAAAAATCCATAATATATAGTCTGCGCCGGCACAAATGTGTTAGCTGGTAGTGTTCTCAAAAACAGTATCTCGCTAGCTTGAAAGAAGTGAGAGTAGGATTTATATATTTAGTATTGTAACAATTTCAACTTCTCAGTTTCTATTGAATTGACACACTAGTTATTGCAGTAACATCGTTTTATGATTGTTTATACGTTTCCTTCCACTATCAATTTTCTCAAAACTCTGGAGTAGCGCAACGTTTCTAAATAAAACGTATGCGAATGTGAAATAAATGGATTTAATGGACGAATGAGAAGCGTCCGGTGGTAGTAAATGAACCTAACACGCCTTCTCTTTGCAGGGCGTGAGTGGACGACGAGCCGAGGGAGAGCGGCGATGCAGCGCTGGGGCGCAGCCTGTGCAGCTGGGGAGGGCTGCGCGCAAGCGATCACCCTCTCCTCGCTGCCACCATCCTCCACGCCGACCATATTTAGATAGCAAATAGGAGGGTGATGCTCAATAAAACCAAGTTCCTCGAGCAACGTCAGATGAACGCCAAGATTATTGCATCATATTAAATGCATTAATTTTAAATATACTCACTCTATAAATCAACCAGCCACATTACTGTACAATAGAGAAATGCTTCAATATTTCTTGAGTAGAATAATAAAGAAGTATTTTTTTCTGTTTCAAGCAATTTTAATTTGTGCTCTTGTTTACATTCCTCGCTTTGGATTCTCTGAGTCTTCAGTAAAGATTTCCATTTAATGTGTGTTGTACTTCAGTTTCTAAGACTATTGTCCCCCAGTTACAATTTAAGACATTGTAATAATAAATAAACATAATAAATTGTTTATGGTGAAAAAATACTGAGTTTCCTAAATATCCCAAAAGAGTTCTTTAATAGACACTTATAAATGGTTTGAGGCACTTTTAATATATGTACTATATAAATCAGTGACGAAGCCAAAATGACATTTCATCTCCCTTTATTAAAGCCATCTTTCTCACAAATGTAACATTCCCAATTCTATTACAGGAGTATTAATTCTAAACAAGGCTGTATGATTTAAAAAAACATAATTTATCGTAAATATGGTAGTTGTGTTAAGTCATGTCGTGACGAGAAAGACGACAACCAATACTACTACGACTACGACTATTACCACTACCTCGACTACTATTACTCAAAGAAGCATTGCGACGCATAAAAAGATGGATGAACGAACACTACATTTTCCCTTGCAGAAGCAAAGACCCAAATCGTTGTATTCACAAGGAAACTTATTCCGACACGGGTCACACTTAAGGTTGGAGAAACGGACATCGAAACCACATCCAGTGCAAAGTACCAAGGGGTCACGCTGGACACAAAGCTGAGTTACTGGCCTCATATACAGCGGGCAGCAGGTAAGGCCGCAGAAACCACAAAAGCACTAAGGATAAATGTCAGGTGACACAGAAAAAGGCAAGAAAAACTGGAGAAGTCCGGAGGGGGCTAACTAGAATCCACTGCCCTGAATTAATATTAACGCGGTTCCGGGGCAGTACCACGCCGGTTAGAAAAAAGGTTTGTGAGTTTAGCGAGTAGGAGTCTCCCAATACTTCGGGAGAGCGGTGCCTCCCAAGTGTCCATGATGGATTCTCACGATTTTCCTCGCAAAGCAAAATAAAATTAAAAAAAAAACCCTACGACTTTTACCACTACTAGGACTATTACCACTAATAGGACTGTTACCACTAATAGGACTGTTAACAAAATTTCTAGGTTTGTAAATTCAGACAATCTCAAATGGAACAACCATTTAAATAAATTTAACGCAAAATTAAGTTGGTTAGTATGCCACGTATTCAGAATTCTTTCAAATTTTGTCATCCTAAATGCAACTTGAGATAAGGCATAATGTTCTTTAGTTCCCAGCTCATCCTATAGTTTCCAGATTTAAATTGGAGAAAAAGTATTCGAAAAATTAAAAAAATAATATCCACGTGATTCCCGCAAAGCTCTTATCATTGAGTTTGGACCTGATTGTCTATTTATGTGGCCGTTGCCTTGTCTATTTATTTACGAACCTATAATTCCTGTGAAAACTGACTTAAGGATGAGAATATATTTTCATAAAACACAAATATTTATAATTACAATTACACGTCATAGGAATCATACTCCACATGATTCAATATCAGCAACTCACCAGAAGAACTCCACACATAATACATTTTATTTTACAACGTATTGCCAGATGATATTAAACATTTAAAACGATACACAAGTTGAAGTGCGAAGAAAATTCTTTTGAGGTGCAAAACTGTTTAGGGAATAGACTGATCATGAAAAAGAAACATAAAAAGACTACTTATTGTAACAGTGATGAATAATGCTTTATTAACATTTGCAGCATTATGTATAATTTTAAAGAGACTAAACATCCCTATGGAGTAATGTACGTAAGTTTTGGGGTCAATGACCCCCATTTTGATCAGGTTTCTTGTCAAGTTTAGCTGAACCATTCAGCAAGTGCTAAGAGGGAAGGAGTGTGGGTTTATATTTTACAACAATACAAATAAATCTGACCTATAGTTCGTTTAGCGATTCTATTATTTTTACTTCCTAAACCCGTTATGAAAAATCACATCTTAATTATTGTTTTGTATGTAGTGTTATGGACGCAAAATCGAAAAACAAATTACACAGGTATACAAAATAAAAAAAAAGGTGTCAGACCCAAAAACTTGTCCCATGTTTTTCTGTGTATATCGCGCTGAATCCGAATCTGAAGCCAGTATTGCCACCATCCTCCTTTTTTAACTCGCGGAAAATCACGGTGACATTTTCTTGTTTTCGAAGGTTGTTGTCAGTTTATCTATGCGCAAATGTGCAAGGTAGGTCTTAAAACTTTTATATTTGTGCAGTGATAGAACCCCCCCTCCCCATTCAGGGTTTCAGGGTGTGAATTTCCTGTCCAGGATATTTAGTTTGAAATTCTCTTTCGAAATGATAACACTCTAACCGTTTTCATGGACATTTATAATTATTCGAAATTCGTCAGGTTACAATTTAACGTGGAGCTTCCTTGGTTTCCACCCGATTCCACTCAAGTTTGTTTATCTTTTAATATTGCGTCGACCTGAGCACCCACAGTAATCTCAAGAGGTCGCGGTCTCCGAAATCACTGAAGAAGAGGAAAGAAGAGCGAAAACCCTTCGCCCGCAGCCTACGCCGCCTTCCCATGTGCAAAACAAGAAACGACGTACGAAATACCAGGGCATCGTAGTCATCCTGAGTGAGAGATAGTCTGCTTGCTGAAGATAATACCATTAGTGCACTACATGGAACAGAACGTGAACTACTGTGCCAGTGCGATTTTGGCACCGTCTCATCCATAAGAGACGCACACAAACCGACAAAGTGTTCTTAATACAACGTTTAATGGGCAGACACGTTGGAAATCCGTAGGTGGCTCAGAGGCAGTGGCGGAATTATCTTTCCGGGGGCAATATCAGAGGCACCACACATTCCAAAAAAATGTCTTATTTGAAAAAAACATTTTGTATGAAAGATACAAAAAGTATATCATATTAAGATGTTTTCCATCAAAAAAGACACTTAAAAATTGTCTAAATGTCTTTAAATAACACACATATATACAAAGCTGGTTGGTAGATTTCAGATTTCGTTGTTTTAAAGTTTGACACGATTAGTTTAGTTTAACTATTTCTTTCACATTATTTACCAAATAATGGGTCATGGGTTCAATTGGCAAAATACTTAAATTACTTAATCGTTCTTAGCCCAGGAATACTTTAAATATTTTTTTATGATTTTGAATTTAGAAAAGATCTTTCGGCAGTAGAAAATGTTCCAAAATAGTCATAAAACATTATGACTGTGCATACATTTGGAAGACATATCATTAATCTAAATTGCTGTATTAAAATTAAATTCCCTAATTCCCCGATTCTTGTATAGATCTCAATTTAACAGTTTTATTGCTCAAACAACTTAGCAAATATAATAACTGAGCTGATAATTGATCTGAAATATCTTTAGGATGTTTTTCAACCAAATGATTTGCCTGAATTATTACTTCATGTAATAATTTCATCAAATTGCTGTTGTATTGCTTTGAACGTACTTGGTGTATGTTATATGCAGAAACCAGGGCAGATAAATAACAGTTCTTAGTCAATATTTTTGTTTACAATAATCCAAAATCCAAATATCCGAAATCCAGAATACAAAGCCAAATCATTTACAAGAAAATGTCCCATTCGCAGCGCAGTAGTCCAAATCCACCGATCCTTCCAGTAAACAAAGTCACACGTCGCCAACAATAACTTCCGCTTAAACGCACTCACTAAGCCAACAACACAGTCCTATCGTGCCGCCGGACCGGGCGCGTCTCCGGGGCGGTCACAGTGGGCCACACCTCTCTTGCCCGGCACAGTGGGCCTCTTGGTCCGCCTCCGCGGCCACAATGTTGTCCATACAGCAGTGTATCACTCAAACTAATAAATGGGTTCTGAAGTTGATTAAATATTATGTCTAAACAACCATAAAACAGGTTAACGCGAAAACGACTTTCAGTATTTCTGTATTCAGTAGTCAAGTCTTCCGTCTTGACATTTCTCAAAATAGCTTTTGGTTTTCTTTACTCTTTCGATTGTTAAATTGATTTTTTACATTCCAAGTTTTAGCTTGATTCAAAACTTCATTTTTAGCACCGTCGAAATTAGATCTAAATCTTGATGATTATTCTTGGGCGTTCTATAATACATGTTTAAATTCTTACAGATCAATATTACAATTTTGTAATAGCTTTGAAACTACATAGGAGGAAGTAAAAATTTTGGAATGCAAGATTACTTGAAATACGAATTCGAATACCCTTTCCCCATACCCTTTCTTACAATAACATAGGTCTGCAAAAAATAAATTGGACAGCTGTTTCGGTTTAGTTGAATTATTCCTACGTTTTGTAGTGCTCTAAATCCAAAAAAGACAACTGTTATGACCTGGAACGTCAGGTTTTTGATGAACAGATGATCATCGTTTAAAAAAATCTCTTAACGCAAAAAGTTGTTGCATAAAAATATTAAATTTGCTCATGTGAAGACAAAACTAACACCACACTCAATCGGATTGCTTGTTTAAACTCCAAATTTCTTTTTGAGATTTTCCTCTTGTACGTGACTTCCGGTAGATACATATACAACATTCAGCAGTAGTCAGCCATTTCCCTTGATACATTCTTTCCACACCTTTTATACTTAATTCTCCTTGCTCTTTGTTCCCGGCACCCAAATTTTCAGAAAAATAGTCAAAGTGTGAGTTGAGAAAATAGACTTTTGAGCTTATGGGAGAACCAAGCTTTTGGAATGCTTTTAACATTGTTTCCGCCATATACTTATGATTTGGGTGCTTTTGGTTTCCCAAAACGGTTTTATGACCACAGAAAAGACAATCCACACTTCTTCTTGAGTTGGAGTCACTGAACCGTTGAAGTCTTTGTCGGATATTAGTTTTCCGGCCCAACAAAAACTCCCTCTTCCAGTTTTGCCCCCAATAAATCTGGAAACTTGGATACCAAGTTCTTGAAACTTCGCTACCGTTAGGAAGTGCTTTAAAATTGTTTCATTGTTCCTAATTTTATATGTAGAAGTGGTAATAAACCCTTCTCAAGAGGTACCTATGTCTCCCTGAGGACATTCTTTTCACCAACAACTAGACTTCTTGGTAGCCAAATGTTTGCCCCCATGCACATAGAAAACAAGGGTATTTTGTGCAATGCTTACAAACTTTGAGGAGCCCAAACATCTTGGTCACAAAGTTCTAATTTAAAATTAACGAAATAAATCTTCTTAACAAAATCCGTAAAATTCAGATGCTGCTTTTTCACCACATATGAATTCTCTACATATGATACAGAAACTGTCAGGCGAATGTATACTCGTTCTTAGAGGTATTGCCCTTATTTTGAAGACTGAAATGCAATAAAAAATTGTGGAGGAATTAGAGAACAAGCTAATGCATGCTTGCATAT